TTAATTTGGCTTTTAGATATTTATTGTATTGTACTGTTTTTATTTACCTGTAAGCCGCCCTGAGTCCCTCGGGAGAAGGGCGGGGTATAAATGGGAATAATAAATAAATAAATAAATAAATAAATAAACAACAGAAAAAAACTAAAAAAACCTTAATCTTGAACAGTCTGCTGTTAAGACTTCTTAGACTGCAAACAAAATACAGCTGCCCAGAGTTACTGAGAGTGAATGGGAAGCCATATACATTTTCTAAATAAATAAATAAATATTGCAGTGCGCTGTAGCCATTTGATCACTATTTCTGACCTTCTTTGCTGGCTTCCTATAAGCAAAATCAATGGGGAACTAGCACGAGCTCATAAAAGGCAACCACGTGACATCCTCACTTAATGATCCACGATGATTAACAAGGCAATCCAGAAGTGCTAGAATTTGTCACAAAGCAGTGGATTGCATGATGTTGTGCTTTATGACTATATCGTTCAGTGACAGAAATTTTGGTCCAAATTACTGCCACTACCTATATTGCAATGCATTCTGTATGGGGTTGCCCTTGAAGACCACTCAGAAGCTACATTTGAGCAGCATGGGCAGTGTTGGACATGTTGCAATATGCTCAAGTAATTCTACTGTCCTATGACAGGGCAAGTCAAAGTGCTGGTTATCATCGAAAAAGTCCTTCATGGCATAGGACCAGGTTTTCTGAAAGGCCATCTATTTCCTATAGTTTCTGCCTGTTCTATAAGATAAGGCAGAGTTGGTGCATTTCAGGTCTTTTCAATCAAACAATGATGCCTATTGGGATCTAAGAAGGTGCTTTTCTGCATAGCACCTGTTCTCTGGAATGATATTGCTCTATACATTTGTGTGGTTCCCACCCTAATGATGTTCTGGAAGTCTTTAAAAACATGATTGTCTTACCAGGCTTTCACGTATGGTGGCTGTGAAGCCCTACTATATTTTGTTTTTTCATTTATTTATCACATTTTTGAACTGCCCATCTCCCTCAGAGAGGGACTTCTGTTGTGTGGGATTTGTTGTCTGCACAGACTAGTTCATTTTTGTTTTTCTATTTTAAATTATAAACTGCCCAAAGTCATTCTGGAACTGGGCAGCCCTTAAACCCGGTAAGTAAACTAAAACTAAAACTAAAATAAAGTATTTTTTCATATTCAACATATCTATATGCTATTGCACTGTAACTATAAATAATTTCTAAGAAGCAGAGGGAATTTGAATCTTACCATCTTTTATTATTCATATGCAAGAAGAAATATAGAAAAACTTCTAATAAAAACAACAGCCAAGAATCTTTGTATTATTAATTTATACACCTCATTTTCACTTAAAAAGTGCAAGAGGAAAAGTTCTCAGTGTTTCCAAGGACTATAATAGAATTAAAAACAATGCAATGAATAAACACTGAATATGCAAAAACATTAATTATATGCAGTGGGAAAATGTAACATAAACATATTCATATTCATTTGCATTCTACTGATTCAAAGAGATGGGCGTCGGTAAATCAGTCATATATGCTACAAAGGGCATACTCCAAATAGTAGTTTACCTGTTAAATTCTCTCCATTCTGCTCTTCTTTTAGACTTTGTTGACTGAGGTCTGTTACTATGCAAACTGCTTGCTTCTTCCCTTCATCATCTCCAGATTCTTCTGATTCAATCCTTTTATCAACTGTAGAACAGAAACAAAATTGTTTATTTTAGGATCAGTATAAAAACAGAGTATAACAACAGAGAACAGTATAACGTATAACAACAGAGAAGAAAACTGATATTATATGAGTTACAAAGCATATTGTGGCATCCTATAGAAAAACAATTATTTGGGCATATGCTTTTATGGATTAAAACAAACCTTGTGAATGTGTATGTATAATAAATCTGTTATGACACATGACTTACTTTTTTTACAACAGCTTAACAGAGCTAACACTCTAAAAATAAATAAGACCAGAGCAGAGGTGTCTTCATCATACCAAAGCCGTGCCCACCCCACTGCCGGCAATGCAAAAAGAGTCACGATACATCGCGACACGTCATTTGATGTGGCGAGTTTGACACCCGTGGACTAGAGTTTTAGAAAGAGGCATGGTTACTTAGCAGTAAGCCCGCCAAAGGTAGATTTAATCCCAAATAACAAAATCTAAAAAAACCCAACTAAATGGAATGTTAAACATGCAACATATCCGAGTTACGGCAAATGCTAACCTGCACACACTATTAAGGTCAGACTAAGTTACATTTGATAATTTTTCAGAGGGGTAACCTCGATAGTGTTTTTGCAACAAATGCAATAACTTTGTAACAAATTAAACATGAATAAAACTAGTGTACAAACCCTTGGGACTATAAATTATTTTGCTACATGTGTATTGTCCATTACACATATGCATAAATATGCACCTCTAGTTAGGATCACAAAATACCACTATATATTTAAGATATACAGTCTCTATTTCTGAACAAATATGCATCTGGACATATCTTGGCTTACTGAACTAAAATATTAAAAAAATCTTTGTCATGTCACACAATCACTTTGCTTTTTTCTTACAAGTATGAGCATTCAAACAGTTGATTAGTATGCACCATCAAGTTGTTTTCGACTCTTAATGATGAATCTCTCTAACCTGTGCTTTCAAGTTTCCCAGTAGTGCACTCATAGCCACAGTTACTAAGACCATGCACTTTGCTGCTGGTCATCTTCTTCTTCCCTTTCCTTTCACCCTTTCCAGAATTAGAGCCTCTTTCAGACAGCTGGATCTTCACATAATGTGCCCAAAATAGGACAATTGGAGCCTAGTCACTTGTGCCTTGAGTGAGAACTCTGGGTTGATTTGTGCATTGGTTTGTTTTCTTAGCTGTACACCGTATTCTCAGGAGTTTTCCCCAATACCAAAGTTCAAAGGCATCAATACTCTTTCTATCCCGTTTATTTAAATTCAATGTTTACTTCCATAGAATGTCACAGTGAAAGTTAGGTAATTGCACTAAATGTGCCAAGTTATTAAGAAAACTTTAAATCAGAACTTTATATCCTAAACTGCTCCAAAGAGATTATTTGATTGTTTTCACAGGGTTTTCCATCCTAGGTCAATATATATTTATCTCAGTTCTTGGCCCCCAAAGGGCCCCAAACTTGGGTTATTACCAGATGCCCAAGAATTAATCTACAGTGAATGAGCTACTGCAGTTCTGGTATAGTTTATTTGTGTACTGTACTCAGATACAAGTAAAAAGCATGGCACAAAAGCCTTATCAGGCCAGCTAAGAATATTTTAATCTCCTTTGACAACTTCCTTTTCAGTATGAAATCAGATGGACAGCTTAACCTTAGTTCAACAATGACAGGTAGTAACAACCACATTCAAGAATGGTAAGCCATTTACTTAATGTTGAAAATATCACAAGAACTATAGAGCTCCATTCTTCTTCAGTTTGCACCCTATCTGCATCTGTGGCAGTACTCGCATTATGTTCCAGATTATTATGTATTGCTACTCAAAGTACACTTTTCTATATGAGCCCCATGCACACCATTTAGACTTGCTATACATACCTTACACTTCTGGCGCAGGCCGTAATTTAGATAGATGCACTTACTTGGAAAATATTTAAATTCACCTCTATAAGGAGAAGTTGCCAGATAAAATTCCTCAATTATTAATTCATTACATTACATTAAAGAACAATCTTTTGCTAAGTATACGGGCATTTTTAGGTATTCTGTCAGCATCATCTCTCATTTTATAAGAAACAGAATAATTGACTGTACAGAGTCAATTCATATAAGATAATATTAATAGTATATGATGCACTTTTGGTTTATTATCACTGATGTCTAGGAAGCATCGAACAGGAGGTAGGGGATGGTCTCCTTATGGATATGTCACACACCTTCCTTCAAATTTGGGGGAGCTACAATATGAATAGTAAAAAGAGGTTGAAAAATAGCTTTAATAAAGCTATTTTGTTGCTCTGTAAGCAGCAACAAAATAAAACCTGCAACACAAAACCATGATTCCCATTCCTGAAGTTAGATGTACCTCCTGACAAATGCAAATAAAACCCTCTTGCTGTGGATAAATTTAGATTAGGTTGCTACAAACTCTACTCAAATCCACAGCAGGCAGTGAGATTACCACTCCCACGACAGTACATTTATAACAGTAATTCATATTGCAAGTTCATCCTATACTGCTGTCATTGATATAATGTACCCTTTCTCTCTTTAAGATAACACTTAGCAGGAAATTACTGCTAAATTGAAGTTAAGGCATGAGTGAACGATATGGAAGTCCAGAAATCTTGACGTGAATAAAAGGTGGGATTTAAATGAAGTTTGATGAGTCAGTGGCAGATTAAATCGTCAACGTCAAAAACTCCTGCACCGAGTCAGTGGGGACATCTGAGCTACTGGAAGTTAGGGTTTATAAAATACTTCTTCCCTCAAAATTATCAATCTCTTATTCCAGCATCATCATCTCACAGATAATGATAGTAACGTGTATTTGCTTTGCATGCCATGCCAGTAGCGGCCAAACCTGGCAATTTGCAGGAAAGTAAAAAGAGCTGATTTAATTGGTGAATTAGGGTGGAGCTGGGGATTACGAGACCCTACAGCAATTCTGACTCCGGGAAACTGTCTCAGCTTTTTCTTACAACATCCCTCTCCCGAAACGCTTCCCCGGAGGCTTCTCCCACTGCCCACTGTGCTCACCACCCCCTTAATAGATGCCCCGCCAATACTTCGGCATCTCCCTCTCCCACGTTAAGGCCAGCATTCCCAAACCTCAGCGTCCCCTATTTCTCTATAGTCGCTGAGCGGAACCGAGCCAACCCTAGCCTAGATTCGGACATCGCGCGCTACAATCCGGTCTCTCACCCTCCATCATCTCTTGAGCGCCCTCCCCACTCTCTGGCTCTGCTGTCGTCGTTGTCGTCGTCGTCGCCATAACGCTTCGCGCTCCCTCCTCCTTCCGGCATCGGACATGGCACTGAAATAGCCAATGAATAACGGGATCGGGTTCTCCTCCAACCAATCACAGAATCCGCTTCGCGGCAGAGGTACCAATGAGACAATATGCGCCTGCGTTTAGCCCCGTAGCTCCCTGGGAAATATAGTTTTTTCTTAGAGACGTTAACTTGTCAATGGAACGAGCAGAAGAATTTCAGGAAACTCTCTCTGTTTGTATCTATGTGTGGTGTGTATCGTGATCGTAATTCATGTACTGCCCTTCTCGCCATTTAATTGGAAATTAACTGAAATAACTAGTAGACGGAAAAAAGAGAGCGGTAATAATAAAATAGAACGATAGAGAAAAAGGCTGTTATTCTAGTGTCTTATCTATCCTTGGATCCCTTTAGTGGAAAGCTGCTGCTTTCTTTTCCTTTGCCAGATAATTGGGTTTTGTCTATAACCTATTTTTGTGGTCCACTATGGATTTTTTTTTAAAAAAATATTCTGTTTACACCGTTTTCTTTTCTAAATGTCATTTAAATGTATTAGAAGAATCATGCTGTATCCAGTGGAAGATCCAGCCTCATGCTTCCAACAATCCTCTGCATAACAGAAAAATAGACCTTTGTGACTGCTGTTCCCCAGCAACTAATAAATTCTGAGACTTAAAAAACCAAATATCTCATGCAGTACATGAATAATTTAATATCATTCATCATTGCTACAGTACTAGCTATTGATATTAATGCCACAGATATTGTGATGGCAGAAAAAAACCCTAATTTTTATTTAAGCAATCTATTGTAACATTTTAGCTGAGCAACTGTGATGGTTTTCACCTCTGCTGGGAATATATATTTGTAGTAAACACTTCCATGGTTCTTCATCATGCCTCCTCCTTACCACAACGAGGCAGCACAACTGGGCTGAAGGACCAGGTTAGGGACAGATCATCTGTTACATCAATCATTTTGAAAAAGTTAAAATCAGTTATTCTATCCCCTTCCTGTCAATGCTTAACAATTAGTCTTTCAAAACTGACAATGACATTTGTAATTTGCTTTTTTTCCAGCTAAACAGTGACTGATACTTACCGGTAGTACCTGGATAGATAACCATCAAGTAATCTATACACTAGAAGTAAGAAATAAAATAAAACCAACCTGGAAGAAGGCAACTGCAAAACACCACAGCATAAAAAACATATGGACATGATCATCTAGTTATCGGAACTTGAGCCTGACTTGAATTTTATGTTTTTAGTAAATGATACAACAGTGAGAAATCCCTTTCTCTAGTCTACACACTATGATTGGTTTCATGTTTCATACTAAGTCACAATTGGCTAGGTACAATTTGCATAACATACTAAGCAAAAATCAAAGCGACCACATAATGAATTGGTGTGATGTATGAAGCGAATGGTAAGTCTGAACTGTCTGGAGAAAAGCTAATAAGTACAATTGGTTTTCTACATGCTGTAGAAGGCAAGTCATCTTGAAGTTAATTTTATCATGTAGAAAGGAACTTAAAACCCAATAACTGCATTTTGCTTTTGATATGGCAGTTGATATGCCAGTTACATCTGATGGCAATTTACAAATCAACCTTTATGATCAAGCTAGCCCCATTTGAAGGGGGAATTTTAGTTGGAGTGTGAAATGGAAAAGAACTGTTTTGAAATACATATGTTAAAGGTTAGGATGAGAGGTTTCCAGCATGGTAGAAAAATGGGAGTTTGTTTTTAACCCTAATTGACTAATGATGATTATGTGTCATCAAGTTGGTGGGGCTCATCACAACAACAGAGAGAGATTTTCTCAAGGATGATCTGTCCCTAACCTGGTCCTTCAGCCCTGTTGTGCTGCCTCATTGTGGTAAGGAGGAGACATGATGAAGAACCATGGAAGTGTTTACTACAAATATATATTCCCAGCAGAGGTGAAAACCATCACAGTTGCTCAGCTAAAGCAAGAGGCTCCCATATTGGGCAACAAGAATACAGGAAAATGCTTGAAGCAGATGATCACTTGAGTGACAACAGCAAAGGCATTGTTTCGTACTGCACAGAAGAAAGCAATGGAAAACCACCCCTGTAATTTATTAAAACCCATTTGGATAGATGATCTAAACATTGTTGCAAATCTAAAATGTGCTGCTTCTGAGGTTTTAATCAAGCAATCTATTTATGAACACTAAGGTATGTTTGAATATTTAAAAATAAACATTGGAAGTACATGATAACCCTGTATCTAATTTTTATATGTATTTAAGTTTGTTTGCTTTTCAATACTTTAAAATGTATTATTTTCTATGCAAAAAAGGGAAAAAAGAAATAAATAGCCATGTTGTGTTATATTCATCTGAAGAGTTAAATAATTAAGAGTGGATTAAAAAAATAATGATCTTTACAACAGTTCTAGTATGATTCAGTACTGGATTAAAAGAAACATAGAAGCTACCTCATAATAAATGATATATTGGTCCAATTATCATTTTCTGGAAGTGGTCCCCAGAATTTCATACTGCAGCATTTTTGGAAGCTTATTACTTATTTAGAGTATGATGAGAACATGACAGAAGAGAAGTAAACATATATACACACAACTTATTTTGGAAGCTGATAGCATTTTACTCAAGCTGGCAGGAATAGCCAACACTCCAGAAGACAGGCTTAAGATACAGAAGGATCTGGACAGACTTGAACACTGGGCACTATCTAACAAAATGAAATTCAATGGTGAAAAAAGCAAGGTTCTACATTTAGGCAAGAAAAACCAATTGCACAAGTACAGCATAGGTGGCACCTTGCTCAATAGTAGTAACTGTGAGAG